GCGGGCGGGGTCCGGGGCGGAGCCGGGCGGGCGGCGGGAGCGAGCGGGCCATGGCGAGCGGGGGCTCGGTGGCGCCGAGCTCGGGCTTCCTGCAGCGCCGGTTGCAGAGTTGGCAGGAGACGCGGCACCGGCAAGCGGTGCTGGTGCGGAAGCTGCAGGCGAAGGTGAGGAGCGGGGGGAGCTGCCCGGGGCCGGGCCGCGGTGGCGGCTGGGCCCTCTGCGGGCGGGACGGTGCCGAGCCCGGAGCTCGTGAGGGGGAGGCCCCGGGAGCCACCCCGCTCCGCCCGGCCCGGCCGCGGTCAGTCCCGAGGGGCTGGGCCGGGCTCGGAGAAAGATGCCGAGCTCCAAAGGCCTGTGCTGGGCCCCGCGAGCAGGGGCCGTCCCCAGGCAGCAGTCGGGCCGGCGGGGGTGGCCCGGGGCACTGGAGTGCTGGCAGCGAGGAGGGTGCCCGAGCTGGCTCAGGGTCGGGGCAGGTCGTGGCCTTCCCCATCCCGGTGCCCGGCGGCGGTCACGGTGCTGCTGTACCGTCACCCTGCTCGTCTCGGCCCTGCTCCTCCTCTGCAGCTGGGCAGAAATCGCCGTTCTGTGGTGGCTGAGCAGGACTGTGGTCAGAACTAATTCTACTGGCTGAATATCAACAAGCCCATGTCTCTAACTTCAAGGACCCCCTGGACTTTTAGCCTGTTGGAAAATACATGGTGGCCACAGGCCAGGCATGGCTGTCAAAGCCTGTCTCATCATTCTACTTGCCATCCTGGGGTCAGCAAAGAGTACTATGTGTAAAACAAACCTGGTCTCACTTTCTTTAGTACAACAGAAAGTGAAGCTTCCCTAAACTGTAATTATTTTTTGTTGCCTTCTTGTTGCCTGTTTCCTGGCGTGTGCTGAGCTTGGGCTGCAGAGACCCAGAGAAAAGCCGGTGCTGGGGGAACTGATTCTGTCCCCAGGGGCACTCACTCATCTCCATCCCGTGTCTCCCCCAGGTCCTGCAGTACCGGACTCGCTGCCGAGAGCTGGAGCAGCAGCTGGAAGCAGGAGGGGTGAGTGTGGGGGGCACTGGCTGGAGAGAGCGGCCGTAGCGCTCGGGAGCCAAAAAGCTCTCCCAGCTGTGACAGAGGCGAACCCTGTTCTGCTGCTGGAGGGATCCAAGAAGTGCTCCAAGTTTGCCCACCAGCGTTTTGCCCAGTTCCTGCTCTTAGAGCAGTGCCCGAGATGCCAGTGCAGAAACCCCCATGTGGAAGGATTTGAGTTCTGGGAAGGAGCTTTCTTGCTGGGGAACGTTTTGTGCTGGGTCTCAGGAGAGGGCTGTGCTGCCTGTTCTGTCCTAAGGCTGGCTCTGGGAAAGAACCGGCTGAAACATAGTGTTTTGGAAGGCAAGAATGCTGGTGTCCAACAGAGAGAGCTGTCTCTGTGCTTCTCCTCCTGGAATATGGTTTAGTCAGACCTGGGAAAGGAAGGGTGGGAGCGTAGGAGAGCATTCCTGGAGTTCAGGTGGGAGGGAGCACCTCGTGGTCATGAGCTGAGGATACCCAGCTGTGAGAGAGCAACAGTGGGAGACTGAGGAGAGCTGCTGGCACTGAGTGACACCTTCCCCTCCCTTCCTCTCCATAGTCACCACACTGTTATGCCTGGAAGAAGCCATCAGCTCCTGAGATACCCAAGGAATGGAGGGGAAAGCAATGGATGAGAACAGCAGTGAAGGGAACACAAGAATTGGACTAAACATTCGCTTTCTTCTTCAGGGATCCTTCCCTGGCAGGTGGGAAGCCACAGAAGACCACAGCCTGGAGAAAGCCTTGCTTCAGGTGGAAGAGGAGCAACAAAGGTAGAAGGAAGAAGCATTCCCTCCTACTGGGTGTCCTGGGTGCTCCTGGAAGGGAGGGAAGGGCTGTCAGAGCTCCCCAGTGTCTCCAAGGGAAGTGGTGGGGCAAGCCCTTTTGAAAGAGAAAGGTTCACAACCTGTTGTGTGGAGCAGTAGTAGGGATGTGTGCTGAATGGCTCTGTTTTGAGCAGGAGTTCCTCCGGGTGAGCTCCAAGGTTCCCTTTCCAGCCTAAGTTATGCCCTGGAGCAGTAGGTGAGGGAGTGGGGACAAGGCCAGAGAAAGGTGATGCATCCAGTGATGAGGCAGCACGAAGGGTCGGAGAGGTGATCTGGGGAACTCCAGGCCTGTCAGTCTGACCTCGGTGCCTGGGAAGGTGATGGAACAGACCATCCTGAGTGCCATTATGCAGCGCATGAAGGACGCCCAGGTGATCAGGCCCAGCCAGCACGGGCTCATGAGGGGCAGGTCCTGCTTAACAAACCTGATCTCCTTCTATGACAAAGTGACCCGCTTGGTGAATGAGGGAAAGGCTGTGGATGTTGTTTACCTGGACTTTAGTAAGGCCTTTGATACAGTCTCCCACAGTATCCTCCTGGAGAAACTGCCTGCTCATGGCTTAGATGGGTATACTCTGCACTGGGTTAAAAACTGGCTGGAGGGCCGGGCCCAGAGAGTGGTGGTGAAGGAGTTAAATCCAGTTGGTGGCCGGTCACGAGTGGTGTCCCACAGGGCTCAATACTGGGACCTGTTCTCTTTAACATCTTTATCAATGATCTGGACAAGGGGATCGAGTGCACCCTCAGTAAGTTCGCAGACGACACCAAGCTGGGTGGCAGTGTCGACCTGCTGGAGGGTAGAGAGGCTTTGCAGAGGGATCTGGACAGGCTGGATCGGTGGGCTGAGACTAACAGGATGAGTTTCAACAAGGCCAAGTGCTGGATCCTGCACTTGGGTCACACCAACCCCCTGCAGCGCTACAGTGAGCAGGCCTCAAGAGGTGACCATCCCCCTGTACTGGGCACAGGGGCTGCCCCACCTTGAGGGCTGTGTCCAGTTTTGGGCCCCTCACCACAAAAAAGACATTGAGGTGCTGGAGCGGGTCCAGAGAAGGGCAACGAAGCTGGTGAGGGGTCTGGAGAGTATGAGGAGAGGCTGAGGGAGCTGGGGGTGTTGAGCCTGGAGAAGAGGAGGCTGAGGGGACACCTTCTCACGCTCTATAACTACCTGAAGGGGGGGTGTAGAGAGGCGGGCGTGGGTCTCGTCCCCCAAGTCACAGGAGATAGGACAAGGGGAAATGGCCTCAAGTTGCGCCAGGGGAGGTTTAGATTGGATATTAGGAAACATTTCTTCACCAAAAGGGTTATCAGGCGTTGGAATAGGCTGCCCACGGAAGTGGTTGCAGCACCATCGCTGGAGGTTTTTCAGAAGATGGGTTGACATGGTCCTCAAGAATATGGTTTAGTGATTTTTTTATTGCTTATTTCTTATTTATTTTTTTTGTCAGAGTTAGGTTGATGGTTGGACTAGATGATCTTTAAGGTCCCTTCCAACCTAGACGATTCTATGATTTTAACGGGAGGCAGCCATTACCTGTGGGCATCGTCTGAGTTGAAGAGGAAGGGAAACCAAAACTGCAGATGGACATTGAAGGCTAAAGGAAAATCACATGAGTTTGCCACCCCGAGAGATCTGAGTTAATCCGAGAAAGCACTTTTCCTGCCTCTCAGTTTGACACAAAAGTCAGTGTTGGGGAGCCGGGAAATCCCGGGGCTGCTGCTTGTGGACAGGGGTTGTTCAGTGACCTCCTGGCTGTTCCTCCCTTCCCAAGGTGTGAGGATCTGGCTGAAGTGAACACTCTCCTGCGGGAGCACCTCGAGAAAGCCAATGAGGTGAATTCAGCCCTCAAAGAAGATGTTGGAAAACTGACAGCAGATTGGATGAGAGCACGGGAGGAACTGGAAATGAAGGAGAGAGAATGGCACCAGGAACGTGAGGTAAGGATGGGCTGTGGGAGTGTCAGAGGTGATGCCACTGTGGCATGAGAATGTGTTTTATTTCTGAACTAGAGACCTCGCTGTGAGAAGGTTGTGGGTCTGTTGAGGATGTATTGGTGTTGAGGAGCAGAAGACAGGGCTGGGAGATGGAGAGGTGTCAGCAAATGGTGATGATGGAAGAGGCCCCCTGCTGTGGCCATGCTGCTCGGTCCTAAAGGCCAGTGCTGCTGCTGCTGGGCACTGTAGGGCAGTGACACAGGGAGCTCGTCTCTCTGGGAGTTCTTCAATCTCCGTCTGGAGCAGTGAGAGCAGAGAGGTCTGTGTGTTTTCAGATTCCGAGCAGCCAAGAGAAGAACAAGAGGGTCCTCCCTCAGTGACAGCAAATGTGACAGTGGCCATGGAGGGCCTTGTCTTTGCCATCCTCCCCCAAAACTGTGAGACACCTCTGCAAGGCGAGATGCTGAATGGTGGTCACTTGCTTTGCTGATGTCTCCTCCTGCAGGAGAAGGGTGGATGTTCCCTCCTGAAGCTCCATTAGGAAAAATAAAGGGGGCAGCATGGGTTAGGGCATCAGCACCATCGCTGGAGGTTTTTCAGAAGATGGGTTGACATGGTCCTCAAGAATATGGTTTAGTGATTTTTTTATTGCTTATTTCTTATTTATTTTTTTTGTCAGAGTTAGGTTGATGGTTGGACTAGATGATCTTTAAGGTCCCTTCCAACCTAGACGATTCTATGATTTTAACGGGAGGCAGCCATTAGCTGTGGGCATCGTCTGAGTTGAAGAGGAAGGGAAACCAAAACTGCAGATGGACATTGAAGGCTAAAGGAAAATCACATGAGTTTGCCACCCCGAGAGATCTGAGTTAATCCGAGAAAGCACTTTTCCTGCCTCTCAGTTTGACACAAAAGTCAGTGTTGGGGAGCCAGGAAATCCCAGGGCTGCTGCTTGTGGACAGGGGTTGTTCAGTGACCTCCTGGCTGTTCCTCCCTTCCCAAGGTGTGAGGATCTGGCTGAAGTGAACACTCTCCTGCGGGAGCACCTCGAGAAAGCCAATGAGGTGAATTCAGCCCTCAAAGAAGATGTTGGAAAACTGACAGCAGATTGGATGAGAGCACGGGAGGAACTGGAAATGAAGGAGAGAGAATGGCACCAGGAACGTGAGGTAAGGATGGGCTGTGGGAGTGTCAGAGGTGATGCCACTGTGGCATGAGAATGTGTTTTATTTCTGAACTAGAGACCTCGCTGTGAGAAGGTTGTGGGTCTGTTGAGGATGTATTGGTGTTGAGGAGCAGAAGACAGGGCTGGGAGATGGAGAGGTGTCAGCAAATGGTGATGATGGAAGAGGCCCCCTGCTGTGGCCGTGCTGTTCAGTCCTACAGGCCAGTGCTGCTGCTGCTGGGCGCTGTAGGGCAGTGACACAGGAGCACTCGTCTCTCTGGGAGTTCTTCAATCTCCGTCTGGAGCAGTGAGAGCAGAGAGGTCTGTGTGTTTTCAGATTCCGAGCAGCCAAGAGAAGAACAAGAGGGTCCTCCCTCAGTGACAGCAAATGTGACAGTGGCCATGGAGGGCCTTGTCTTTGCCATCCTCCCCCAAAACTGTGAGACACCTCTGCAAGGCGAGATGCTGAATGGTGGTCACTTGCTTTGCTGATGTCTCCTCCTGCAGGAGAAGGGTGGATGTTCCCTCCTGAAGCTCCATTAGGAAAAATAAAGGGAGCAGCATGGGTTAGGGCATGAGCTGGGGGCCAAGGACCATCGTTGGAGATGTCCAGGCATCTGGGTGAGCTCTTCGTGCTGTTCAGTCCTACAGGCCAGTGCTGCTGCTGCTGGGCGCTGTAGGGCAGTGACACAGGAGCACTCGTCTCTCTGGGAGTTCTTCAATCTCCGTCTGGAGCAGTGAGAGCAGAGAGGTCTGTGTGTTTTCAGATTCCGAGCAGCCAAGAGAAGAACAAGAGGGTCCTCCCTCAGTGACAGCAAATGTGACAGTGGCCATGGAGGGCCTTGTCTTTGCCATCCTCCCCCAAAACTGTGAGACACCTCTGCAAGGCGAGATGCTGAATGGTGGTCACTTGCTTTGCTGATGTCTCCTCCTGCAGGAGAAGGGTGGATGTTCCCTCCTGAAGCTCCATTAGGAAAAATAAAGGGGGCAGCATGGGTTAGGGCATGAGCTGGGGGCCAAGGACCATCGTTGGAGATGTCCAGGCATCTGGGTGAGCTCTTCACCCTGCCGCACTCCCCAAAAATGATGAGTCTTCCTAGCACAAAGTGAAGTTATGGAGACCCCCGTAGTGCCCCCACGTTCCTCACCACCAAGAGCCAGTGAAACTGGTGCCTCCATCCCTGCCTGCCCAGCCAGCGAGCAGGGCTGACACACGATCGGGGTGACATTGGAGACCTCCTCCTAGAACACTGCCGGGTGGCAGCTCTGCTGAGGCTGCTCTTGTGGTGCCTCTTCAGTCCCCGATGCCCTGATGGAGTAGTTAGTGAAGGAGACCTGGCCATGGTGGGGTGACCCTCTCCCAGCTGAAAGACTTGTGCAGTGGCGGCGAAGGCCGAGCTGGCATTTCTTTTTGTCTTTGCATCTGTAGCTTTATGACAACTATCTAAGGGGTGAACGTGACCGTCTGCTCGCCCTGTGGCATCAGGTGGTCACCTTCCGCCGTCGTTTCCTGGAAATGAAGACTGCCACGGACCGGTGAGTAGAAGTTGAGGCCAGATCTTTTGCAGAAAAACATTGCTTCCCTTCAGAGCTGCCTTTTGAGCCTTGATGTTAAGTTAGTTGTGGCTAAAGATATGATTTCTCCTTTGAGTCTGAAGCAGTGCCATTCAGCATGCTTTGGGTTATTTTCAGAATCCTTTTGATTGATGCTGATTTTCAGATAAAACCGAGGGGCTCAGGCTATCAGCAGTGCTGAGGCCCTGAGCAAATGACCGGGCTATCGTGATGTTTGGGGACATTAGCACAGACACAGGAGTATATGGATACATTGGAAGAGCCTCACCAAAGCTATGCATGTAGAGCAATCCCTGTTCTAGAATGATGCAAATCTGCCTCAAATCTCACTGAGTTTCTTTTCCCACTTCTCTGATGGAAGGATCATCCATGAATATTTTTTTTTCCTTCTAGTTTCCAGCTTACATTTATTCTGGTCAGTTCGTATCTGCTTATTTCTCTATCAACATTGTTGGGAGAAAGAAGAGCTTCTCTAACCTGTTACTGCATTTATCCAATTTCTTTTGCTTAGTTTGATACCTCTTTTTGTGATTGTTTTCTTGTTCTTCAGCTCTCTGAGGTTCCTCTCTCACAGTTGTCTTCTACACAATCAGAAGTACCACAGCCATCACGGTAACTGCTTCTGGTGTCAGGATGCAATTTCAAACTCTGTGTTACTTTCAGCCATTTATCAGAATATAAACCTTCCTTAATGCGTTGAGTGTGCCTGACCTGCTATTTAATTCTTGTGTTCTTTGTGCTTTTTTGTTACAACATTGTAGGCTTTTTCTTACACCACCTTCCTGAGATGTTTATTATGTAGGTATTGTTGATAGCCTCTGAGCAGTCCATGTGTTGATAATAATAGACTGCTTAAGGCAGATCTGCCAGGTATAAAAACTGGGGACCTTGGTAAAATTTCTTACATCTATTAAAGATAATTAGAGTATGTTAATAAGATAGAGCAGGAGCAACAATTAATAACAGTAATTAGAGGTCCTTGAAGCCTTCTGGCTGTGCCATACATTTCTTCTTATCGCTGGGCAGAAAACAAACTCCATTCCTCAGCTATGGAGTGTGCTCTTTGCTCACTTGTCAGGGTGTGTCCTGATCCCAGAGTGTCAGAACAATGATTTGTCCCCAACAAAGGTGTCCTCTTTCTTGCTCAAGTACGCGTTTCAGCAGCGAGTCAGCTGATAGAGGTTGTGGTGTGAACGTTGGCTCTTCCTTTATTCTTTTTTCTTCAGAGATTTGTCCGAGCTGAAGGCAGAGCAAATGAGGCTTTCTGGATGTGTCATTGTCAACTGCTCCCGTCTAAACTCCGTCGTACAGCTCCGGGAGTCCATCACTTTGGGCAGACCTGTCCTAAAGGATCAGGCACAGCAGGAAGCTGGACAGGACATGAACCAGAAGACTCTGGAAGTGATGTCATTACAAGCCAAGGGGGACCTGGAGAAGAAGGAACTTCAGGACAGGTAAAAGTGTTTTCAACTTTGCTGTTCCTGATATTCTCTTCTGTGGCTGCCTCTTGTGTTCTTAGATGGGCTGTGTTCACATTTAAACACACCTGTTCTGCACGGCCTTGTTTCTGTCCCGAGTCAAACTATTGCCTTCCACAGAAAGGAGGTAAAACCATGTCTAACAGCTCTTCTGGGTAAGAGGATCCTGGAAAATAGGTTGCATATTACAAGACTCTTGCTGTGAACTGATTCTTGGTGCAAAAGCGAGAGCAGCATGAAGAGAGTTCTGTCTCCGGTACAGCTCGTTTGCTCCACCGGGCTATGCTAAAGGAGGTGGGAGAAATTTGCCTTCAGCCCCACCATAAGCACTGTAGCCCCTTTGTACTGACAGTTCCTTGCAAGTCTGAGTGCAGAAGGCCTTTGGGCATTGGAACTCAATGATCTTGAAGGTCCCTTCCAACTCTAACTGTTCTATGATTCTGTGATAACACCACACATATTAACCTGTAGAGATGAACACTGCCTTTGCTGTATTTTCTGCATTGAACTTTCTCTGCTGTGCTTCTGGGAGCTGCTTAGCTTTTTAACAGGCGATGGTGTGCAATGCTTTTGGAATGGCACGTGGACCTTCTCTTCTCAGGGTGATGGAGCTCTCAGCCTTGCTTGTACAGTCTCAGAAGCAGAACGAGGAGAAGGAGAAGACCATGAAAACACTTAACGACACTGTGGAGATTCTAGTATGTTTTTCCTTTATCTGGGAGATAGCCCAGTGTTTGCTCTCCAGCCTTAGCACAAAGGAGGTTTGACTTCCTCAAGAAAAGGATCGGTAGAGATGATAACTGTGTGAGAACATCAGGCACATTGCCAAAATATTCCTTGTGTTTTCGGCACATGGGGAGTGAGTCCAGGGCCAGACAGTGGCAGGGGAGCTGCAGGCAGTTCAGGTGTCTTCCTCAGGATGGCTGCACCAATTCTGCCTGTGACTTGAAGTCTCTGGGGATCTGGGTTCCTTGGCATTGACAGCTTAATAGCAGTCTATAAAACTCAGCTGTTGGTCTTTCTCATCTTAGTTTTAGCAAAGCAGTTGAATAGATATGGGAAGGAGTATCCTGGAGTCACCAGGGCTGAGGCTTGTCAGCAACACAGTGCTGCTGAGGATGGGTATGCTACAGAGCAGAGCAGTTCTTCCCTGCCAACCCTTTCCTTATTCTGTTCTCAGGAAGCAAGTCAGTTAGAGAGAGAATATGAAGCTTCGTTGAGTAAAAGTGCCAAAGAAGAGAATCTTTCCCTGCAAAAGCTAATAAAAAATATAACTGAGGTGAGTACAGAGTTGGGACCACATCGCTATGAATTTGTTTTAAAAGTACTTGAGGAAGGCAAGAGACTAGCCCAGGGAGTAGATACAGATGTCATATACTGTCTGTGGTAACTATTACTGGCTGTTTAATTTTTCTACCACTCTTCTGACCTAAAGCCTGTCAACATTTTTTTTGTTTTGTTGCAGATAAGGGGAGATACCATGAAGCGGTGAGGATATGCAGGGGGAAAATTAGAAGGGCCAAGGCTCAAGTGGAGCTCATCTTGGCCACCAATATTAACAATAACAAAAAGGGGTTTTTTCAGTATGTTAACAGCAAGAGAAAGGTTAGGGATAATGTGGGCCCACTGATGGATGAGGTGGGCACCCTAGTAGTGGAAGACACAGAGAAAGCAGAGCTGCTGAATGCTTTCTTTTCCTCAGTTTTCACTGTTAGGACTGCCCCTCATGAATCTGTGACCTTGGAGGCAAGGGGGACGGTATGGAGAGAGGAAATTTTTCCTCAAGTAGATGAGGACCAGGTTCGGGCCCACTTGGCCAAACTGGACATTCATAAGTCCATGGGCCCTGATGGGTTGCACCCACGAGTGCTGAGGGAGCTGGCAGACGTTATCTTTCATTGCTGTTTTCCGGTATTCCTTCTTCCCTGGGCAGTGTTAATGTTTCCTTTCATTACTATTTCCTGTGTTATTCTCGTGATAATGTATGTGGCTCTGAGAAGCTGAAGGGGACCAAAGTAATTCCTGAGAGCCTCAAGAAACTGAGGGTTCAGGCAGCCTCTGGCCACTTCACACTTGTTTATAGGATCTGTAGTAAGAAACCCCTGGAGTACTTGTGGCCACAGGGACAAAACTTCTTTGTTGACTGAAGAAATGAGATAATTGAGTTTTTAATGACTCCAGCATGAAGTGGGGGAGGAAAAAAAGGAGACATAGATAAAGAAAACGAAGTAGAACGAGCAAAGAGTAACAAGTCGATGTGGGCTTTCAGGTGGTGTTAGATGACAGCGACAGCACGGTCGGTGTTATCTGCTCTGCTGGTTCCCAGCATGCAGAGTGCAGCAACCTTCTCTCTTGTCTGAGCTCTGCTGGTGCAGAGTGTGCCTTTGTGGTGGTTCAGGAAGCACTGGCGAGGAGGCGAAGAGCAACACAGGTGAGAATTTCTGCCACAGGCTCAGCTGCTAATGCCTCACATAGGCTGAAACCTTTCCATTCACTCAGACACTTTATTTCTAGCCATCCCACTCTTAGTACCGTATTGCCTTGCCAGTCTCACCAGCTCTACATTCTACTGCTTTTCTTTCCTTGATCTCCACCCCCTCATCACTGTTTTTGCCTTCAGGTGAGCTATCTGTGTGCTTGCTGATTCTCCCAGCTATCTGGAGACATCTTTCCCACTCCTCATTGCTTGTTTGTGCTCTTTCCCTGCCCGCTCCTTGCAGGCCCTAAAAGAAGAGCTTTCTGCCAGGCAGGAGTCTATCAGTTTGCTGCAGCACCAGCACAGGCAGCAGGAAGAGAAGTGCAGGAAGCTGCAGCAAAGGCTTGAGCAACTGGAAGAGGAATGTAAGATGTCCAGCAGCCACCAGCAGCACCTCCAGTCTCTGGTAGAAGCACTCAGAAGGTGAGTGTTTCTTCCTTTTCCTGCATTCTAGATGCCATCTGCTTCCAGTTTTGGGAGTTCAGAGGCGTTATGGGCAAAGAACTCGCCTGTTCACCACGTGTGTGCCTCTGGCACTTTAGCGTCCTCCTGTCACTGCTTTTCATGCTCTACTGTGAATCCTAAGGCTTTCTTGGACATTCAGAATAATGTTGGAAGACAAGATGCCTCCCTTTTGACATGCTGTGTCTCTGCAGACGGAATGCCCTTTCCTAACCACTGCTTCTCACCAAGCAAAGGCAAAAGCCTGCCTTCCTCTTTCCCTGGGGTTACTTCATGAGGGAAAGAGCATGTTCTTCCTTACCATGCTCCCCACAACTCCATCCTGGAATGATGAAAATGAGATCCATGACTCTTCAGGCCTCTTAATTCTTCTGACTGACTCTTGTCTCTGCAGTGACTGTGCAAACCTCGAGAAAACCAGGGAAGAGCTACAGCAGCAGCTTGAAGCAACAGAGCGCGAAGCCTCGTGTCTGCGTCAAACTAACACTGAACTGCAGCTGAAGGAAGATTCAGCCCAGGGGGAAAAGATGGAGCAGCAGGAGAGGATGGAGAGAGTGCGTCGTGACCAGGAGCTCCTGTGAGCGTTAAAGCTTTCTCTGGGCAGGGGTGGGTAGGGAGTAGATACAGATGTCATATACTGTCTGTGGTAACTATTACTGGCTGTTTAATTTTTCTACCACTCTTCTGACCTAAAGCCTGTTACAACTCCCACGTTGGCTGACCTGTGGCACTTCAGCTGAGCTGCTAGAAGTTTCAGAACCTTTGCCTTTACAGTCTGGCTGAGGTCTCTCTAGGACTGTGCTTTCTGAGTTGGCTACTTGATACTTGTATTCCAGGGTTTCTTGGAGGCTCCCCCGACCCTCCCTGAGCACTGAAACTGCTCTTCAGACTTTTATAAATGGTCAATCGATGCACTTGCCAACTCTGCTCCTGCGCTCTACATTCCCTGACCATTATTGTCTTCCCAGAATTACAGCTGATTTAACGGTTGAGGGGTAACTTTAACTCACTCCTAAACTTCACTCTATGGAGGGGAGTTTAATCATCAGATCTCTTACACAGTCTCTCTCAAAGTCACTTCTTTTGCCTTGTGTCGCCATTTTTGTCCTCTTGTGCTACTGCTACTGCACAAGAGGATAGTAATTATAAACATTAGCTTTTTCATTGCTGTTTTCCGGTATTCCTTCTTCCCTGGGCAGTGTTAATGTTTCCTTTCATTACTATTTCCTGTGTTATTCTCGTGATAATGTATGTGGCTCTGAGAAGCTGAAGGGGACCAAAGTAATTCCTGAGAGCCTCAAGAAACTGAGGGTTCAGGCAGCCTCTGGCCACTTCACACTTGTTTATAGGATCTGTAGTAAGAAACCCCTGGAGTACTTGTGGCCACAGGGACAAAACTTCTTTGTTGACTGAAGAAATGAGATAATTGAGTTTTTAATGACTCCAGCATGAAGTGGGGGAGGAAAAAAAGGAGACATAGATAAAGAAAACGAAGTAGAACGAGCAAAGAGTAACAAGTCGATGTGGGCTTTCAGGTGGTGTTAGATGACAGCGACAGCACGGTCGGTGTTATCTGCTCTGCTGGTTCCCAGCATGCAGAGTGCAGCAACCTTCTCTCTTGTCTGAGCTCTGCTGGTGCAGAGTGTGCCTTTGTGGTGGTTCAGGAAGCACTGGCGAGGAGGCGAAGAGCAACACAGGTGAGAATTTCTGCCACAGGCTCAGCTGCTAATGCCTCACATAGGCTGAAACCTTTCCATTCACTCAGACACTTTATTTCTAGCCATCCCACTCTTAGTACCGTATTGCCTTGCCAGTCTCACCAGCTCTACATTCTACTGCTTTTCTTTCCTTGATCTCCACCCCCTCATCACTGTTTTTGCCTTCAGGTGAGCTATCTGTGTGCTTGCTGATTCTCCCAGCTATCTGGAGACATCTTTCCCACTCCTCATTGCTTGTTTGTGCTCTTTCCCTGCCCGCTCCTTGCAGGCCCTAAAAGAAGAGCTTTCTGCCAGGCAGGAGTCTATCAGTTTGCTGCAGCACCAGCACAGGCAGCAGGAAGAGAAGTGCAGGAAGCTGCAGCAAAGGCTTGAGCAACTGGAAGAGGAATGTAAGATGTCCAGCAGCCACCAGCAGCACCTCCAGTCTCTGGTAGAAGCACTCAGAAGGTGAGTGTTTCTTCCTTTTCCTGCATTCTAGATGCCATCTGCTTCCAGTTTTGGGAGTTCAGAGGCATTATGGGCAAAGAACTCGCCTGTTCACCACGTGTGTGCCTCTGGCACTTTAGCGTCCTCCTGTCACTGCTTTTCATGCTCTACTGTGAATCCTAAGGCTTTCTTGGACATTCAGAATAATGTTGGAAGACAAGATGCCTCCCTTTTGACATGCTGTGTCTCTGCAGATGGAATGCCCTTTCCTAACCACTGCTTCTCACCAAGCAAAGGCAAAAGCCTGCCTTCCTCTTTCCCTGGGGTTACTTCATGAGGGAAAGAGCATGTTCTTCCTTACCATGCTCCCCACAACTCCATCCTGGAATGATGAAAATGAGATCCATGACTCTTCAGGCCTCTTAATTCTTCTGACTGACTCTTGTCTCTGCAGTGACTGTGCAAACCTCGAGAAAACCAGGGAAGAGCTACAGCAGCAGCTTGAAGCAACAGAGCGCGAAGCCTCGTGTCTGCGTCAAACTAACACTGAACTGCAGCTGAAGGAAGATTCAGCCCAGGGGGAAAAGATGGAGCAGCAGGAGAGGATGGAGAGAGTGCGTCGTGACCAGGAGCTCCTGTGAGCGTTAAAGCTTTCTCTGGGCAGGGGTGGGTGTTGCTGGACTTGAGGAGCCCAGCATAAAAGAGTTAATTTTACATGCTTGTCATTTGTAGCATAGGTGAAGGGAGCACGTGGGCAGGTCTGGCTGCCTCCTGACATAGAGCATGGCTGCCTCCTTGTACCTTCGTTATCACCCGTTAAAAAAATCAACTCCAAACCTGACAGAGTAGTTGATGACAAGCATAAGCTGAAACGAGAGATGTTCTGACTGGATTTAAGGAGAACAAAAAGTCATGCAGCAGAACAGGTTACTCAGAGAGCTTATGCAGATTCCATCCCTGGAAATTTGGAAGACCCGGCTGGATAGAGCCTTGAGCAACCTGGACTGATCCCAAAGCTGACCCCAGCTGCTTTGAGCTGAAGATTGTGCTAGAGGCCTCCTGGGGTCCCTGCCAGCCTGAATCATCCTGTCATCCTATGGTTATTTGATTGGAAATCCATATGCATCTCCTCCCCAAATAGATTGCAGGCTCTTTCATTGTTTCACTGCTGAAGGCAAGAGTAATTGTGGCAGTATT